CTCTGGTGTGGAGCAAGCCAAGCCAGGCTGCCACGTCGGAAATCGGACAAACGTCCAAGAGACCCTAGCCTAGCCTGGCCGCTGCCTGCCTCGACTTTGGCGAGCCAGCGTAAGCGATGGAGGCGGGCGCGCGCTGCGGGGCTTCAACCAAGCAGGCGACGTCGATCCGCCGGCGTGAAAAGCCAGGCCAGGCCAGCCAAGCAGCGCAAGCAAGGCAGCCGATCGCCGATGCGACCCACTTTCCGCCTTCGACCCCGCCCGCCTGCCCGCCGAAAAGGTCGGACCTGGCCGCATGCATGTGAAAGCCATCCTGGCCTCGATTCCTCCCTCCGCCGCCTTTTCCTCCAGCCTCGCTCTGGCATCACCGACTCTGCCGGGCATCCACGCCGCGCTGCGCCGCAGCATCGCTCGACGTCGTTGGCAGCCATCGCATTGCAAACTGATCGGGATGGGCCGCGTACGTCTCCCCGGCGCTATCTCCACATCAAAGCTCGACCTAGCGCTCGAAGCACGCGCACCGGCAGCCTGAGCACCTCGAGCGCCATCGAGAGCACGCCCGTCGCTCGGCCGTCGTTGCGTGCCAGGGCCACATTGCCCCCCGTCGCTCTGGCCGCAGTCGCGCTATCGTCGGCGGTGGCGCTGGCGGTGGCGCTGGCCGCGGCCATGCTCGCCTGGCGTCGCCGTTCGGCCTCGGCCGCACGCTGCTGGCTCATCCAAGCCTCGCGCTCCAGCTTGCGCGAGCTAAAGAAGCGCCTCGACTCTTCTGCATCCCATTTGGGCCGGGTCGTCGTCGTTGCCTCCGTCTGGTCCTTTCCGGCGACCACCTCGCCGCTCGCGGTGACCGAGGCGGTCGGTGCGCTCGCATCGGGCAGCGGCGTGGCCTCGTCGACCGGTGGCTGCCTGGCTGCCTCGTGTTCCTCGTGCCGCCGCTCCCGTTCGTGCATCTCCCGCTGCAGCTTCTGGTAGGCGACGGCGATGTCGTCGAACCTGCTCTGCCGCAGCTCAGTCCCTGCCAGCGTCTCGAACAGGCGCCGGTGCCACGGCGCCTCGCTGCTAGTGTCAAGCACCGGCGTCAAGCCGTAGCTGCCGTCGTAGAAGTCGATGTTCTGAGCCGTGGCCAGGAAGCCCACCTTCTCGTTGAGGTCCTGGACAAACGGCCACAGCGCGTGGAACGAGTACCAGGCGAAGAACGAGACGAGCGCGACGACCATCGAGGTCATGCTCAGGGGTGCACGACGTCGCTGCGGCGGCCAAGGCGCGGCTGGCAGCGACGGCTGCGACGCGGTGACTCGCTTTGGCGCTGAGGTCGCAACGAGCTGCTTGAGCTCCACCGGCGGCGCCAGCGATGCGCTGTCGTCGTTCCCCGATGGCGCTTGGAAGGTGTGATCGCTCTCGACGCGGAACTCTTGCTCGCTCCGCACTGGCGCCTCGAGCGTGAAGGCCACATCAAGCGGTGACCCTGAATCGAGGCGGAGGCCATAGAGTCGCACGCCGCCGGTGACCGCCTGGCTGACGAGCATGGGTCGAGGCGCAGGGCCGGAAAGGGTGGCTCGGCGTCCGGAGTCGCCGACCAGGTCGATCGAGACGGCCATGGTGTTCCAGCGAAACGAAGGCAGGCGCAGAGCGATATCCGGTCGTCCGGCCCAGGGCATCGCAAGGAGCAAGTCTGCTCGGACGCTGCCCGTGCAGCCGACCAGCTCCGGAGGCAGGTCGATGCGCCATGTCGCGACGTCCTCGGGATCGTCGGCCTGCGTCGAACCGACCGCGAGGTCAACGTGTCGACCGTTGACAAAGGCGGCCAACGGGTCTCGCCCTCCCTCCGCCGGCGCCATGTCGAGCGACGCAGAGGGGAGAAGATGGCCGCGGCTGGAAGGCCAGTCGAATTGCAGGCGCACAGAGAGCGTGAACCCTCGGCCTTCGTCGAGGACGGGATGGACCCAGAAGGCTGCCTCTCGTGACCAGACCGACGCCGGTGGAGGTGCTGGCATGCGGTCCGGTATTGTAGACGTCGATTTTTCGGCAAGCGCCAGGGGTCGGACGAGCCGGGAGTCCGTTCCTAGCGCTGAATCGCTTGGTTCGGTCGCAGCGGCGCCGTCTGGGATCGCAGCGGTAGCATCCTCGACGTCAATCACCTCCGCAGCGGTGATGGTGACGACGCTGGCCTCTGCGTCGAACCCATGACCAGGAGGGAGGCTCTGGCCGTACGAGTGCGGCTCCAGCTTGATGCGGCCATCCGAGCCGGTCCACTGCGAGCGACGGAGGTCAGAGACGATGGTGGAAGTGCCGGCAGCCTTGCCGAGGCGGACGTCGATGCTGGTGAAGTGCTCCGAGGCGGTGGGGAATCGGAGCACGGGCAGGGCGAGCTTGATCTCGTCGGCGGCGGCCGGTGTAGGCAGCTGACCCTGCTTTGGCTTGATCCTAATTGTGCCGCTCAACAGCAGCGTGGTCGACGAGCCGGCTGCCATCAAATCCGCCACGCTGAGTCGGGCCCGCACCGTGAGCCTCGAGACGGACGCGGGTTGCGGTGCGCCGTCGCCCGCGGTCGAGCTTGACTCGTCCAGCAGCGGTGTCGCTGGGCGCGAGCCGCCCCGGGCCACAATTGACCGTCGCCTGACCTTTGGACGGCTCGGCGCCGCCGTGCTGTCGAACGAGAAGTCGATGTTGGCATCCGAGAGGCCAGACGGAGGCGCTACGCTGAGGAGGTCGTCGTCGTCGAGGCTGTCTGTGCTCCTGGACCGACGCAAAAGAGCCACGCTGGCGTCATCTGGCCCGCCATTGGAGGGGATGTCGGCCTGATCTGCAGAGTCTTCCTCGTCCTTGGCGCCGGACACGTCCTCCTGCTGAGCCCAGGAGACGAGGCCGGCGCCCGCCTCGACCTTGGAGACGTCCCAGGTGCCTTCCTGGCCGTACAGGTCGAGAACGATAGGCATCGAAGCCTCTGCGTCGAGGCCAGGAAAGTAGAGGCCGGTGAGGTCTGCGGTCGCCTCGAAACGGAAGGCAGCATGGTCCCCGTCATCTGCAGTGCAGGCCTCGTAGCAGATACGGCTGTCGATCCTGTCTGCTCTGAGCGCTGATGCCAGCCGGTGCGAGGGCTGGCTCGATGAGACGAAATCACCAGCCTCGGGCGCGGCCCACCGCACCACGACGGCATCGCAGGACTCGAAGGGGCCCTGGACAGTGGTGTTCTCGTCGTCGTCTTCGTCGTCGTCTGCGTCGCTGTCGTCGCTATTCGGGCCGAGGGTGATGGCATCGTCGTCATCCTCCGCTTCGACTTGCTTGGGCCGGTTGAGCGCCCGGCGCTGGCTCCGGCTGCGCGGCAGGATGAGCGGATCGATCTCGACGGCGATGTTGCCGGTGCCCAGGTTGACTGAGTCGTCGAGCGCGAACTTGAGGTAGTTGTTGAGGCAGTACGGCTTCGGCAGGCGCACCTGCCGCGACGAACAAGGACGGGAGCGTCAGCTTCGATGTCTCGATGTGGGCAGCGGGGGAGAGCTCCTCTGGCGAGGAAAAGAAGGACGCACCATGTAAGCACTTCTCGGCGGGGAAGCGGCGAGGCCAACCTCCATGCGCAGGATGAGGATGAAGCCGCACACATCCTTGCGCTTCCGCTTCGGAGTCGATCCGGTGACGGGTGCAGTCTCGCTCGGGGGGCTGAGCAGCGGCGTCGTCAGCGGAGGCGTGATGAAGTTGATGTGGAAGTTGGACACCGAGACCTGGGCGTTCGACGCCGACGAGGCGAAGAGGTCGTGGGGCGGTCGCCGCGCGCCTCCGATGGAAGAGCGCCGCCTCGCGGTGGGTGTCGAGCGGCCATCGGTCGGAAGGAGGGGCGGCGACTCTACGCCGTGGTGAACCGACAGCGGGATGCCGAGATGAGCTGCGGCCGCGGCTGCGGACTCGGAGAGGGCGGGTGCGGCACCGGCGGCGTCGAGGGGATGGACGGCGGCATCCTTGAGCCTGACCTCGTGGTCGGGGAGGAGCGGGTAGGTGTGCGGCTTCTGACTCGAGGGGACCTCGACCTTGAGGTAGAGCGTGTAGGATGCCCCGCTGCTGCTGGCGTGGCCCTTGAGGACGAGCTTCTTGCAGATCCGGGCCAGTGCAGGCCGCGCTGCCGCTGGCGTTGCGCTAGAAGTCGCAGCGGGAGTGTCGTCTCGGGCAGCTGGAGTCATGGTCGAGGTGGTCTAGGCGAGTACGGCGGACCTGGTCAGTGGCTCTCTCCGGGTCGACGATGGTCATTGCATTGCCTTTTTGTCTGGCGATGCGCCTTGCAAAGGCTTTGAAGGAAGAGAAAGAGGAAGGTAAAGGAGGAATGGAGAGTCGAGGAGATATGAAGGGCCGGCGCGGGGCTGGGCTGGATATGGTGGTGGGCGAAGTGGCGTCCGCCGGTTGAGACAGAGGAGGTCGGGTTGGACCCTGAGCACGCCCCCTCCTTCTCTGGTTGAGCTCGCCTCGCCCGCCGTCCCAAGCCCGATTCCCGAGTCGACGACCGCTGCACGGGCACAGAGGGGGGCGGCGCACGCAAAAGCCGAGACCAAGCTCCCGCCTCCAACTCGTTCCATGCGATGCACGGACGGACGCCCTGGGTCGAGCGTGCCGCTACAAAGGCAAAGCGCACCATTCGCTTTCCAGCTTCAACTGCTCGTCGACCTCGCTGGTCGAAGGGCTAGAGGATCCACCAGGGCCCACCGCAGAGACAGGACCACTTCCAACTCTTCATCCCCCCTCCCTGCGCCGCCATCTCGGCCTCGTGGTGGTGGAACGCAGCGACCTGGCCGCACCGGAGGCACCGCTTGGTCCTCGTCTGCCTCGACGCGGGCGGAAGGATCGACTTGGTGATCACGTCCCGCTGCGCCTGGCCCGTGCCTGCCCCGTGTTTGTCGATCAAGGAACGGGGGCCGGGAGGGGATGGCAAGAGGACGGAACGCTCATCGACCAGGTCGCTTGGACGCAGGAAGAGCGTCAGCGGATCCACCAACCCGCCTTGCTGGGCGTCGACGAGGCGTTGCAGCATCCTCGTCGCCTTTTTTGCGCGGCCCACATCGCCTCCTCCTGGCATCGTGGCGATGGCGGTGGTGGAGTCGTCGACTCGCGTCGTACTTGCGGCGTCGTCGATCGAACACGGAAAGCGATGAAGCCACCACTTTTCCTCGTCCTCGTCCTCCCCATTGTCGTTGTCGCGGGTGTGGGTTGAAGACGAGTCGTCGGAGAAGAGGTCGGGCGACGAGAGGACACGCAGGCACGCCTCGAGGTCCATGCTGGCCTGGACGCACGAGTGTCGAATCGCCTCGCGCGCCAGCTCCATCTGCTCACTGACCGCCATGACACCCACGTTCAATCCCTTTCCGCCGGCACCGGCGCCCGCTCCTGTATCCGCGCTGCCGCCACTGCCGGCCCTCTGCTCGTCGGCTTCGGCAAACGGCGGCAGGTTGTCGGCGTGCACCGTCGAGAGCAGCCACGCCTTGAACTCGCACAGCCCCCTCAGCACCGCCACGAGCAGCAGGCGCGGCGTGCGGTACGTCAGGAGCTCGACCAGCGGCGTCACCCGCACCGTCGGAAACGCTAGCAGGCCCAGCGCGTCGAGCACGCCCAGCGTCCACTGCAGGTGCGCGATGAGCGGCCACACTGACGCGAGGCGGTAGTGCACCCGCGTGGCCTCCGCATCGCCCGTTGCGGCACCCGTCGACGGCAGGCGAGTGAGGACGCGGCTCTGCCGCAGCAGCTTGTGCAGCATCGACAGCGAGAGAACCAGCCGCTCGGCATCGCCCGACGCCGCATCGGCCCCGTCGCCGTGTTTCTGCCGCTGCTGCAGCACCGCTTCGCCCTCGCCACCGATGGTCGTCTTCGTGGTGCCCTTGTTCGTCGAAGGCGGCGGGGCCGACAGCAGCGACAGCTGCACCTCGAGCAGCCGCAGCGTCTGCAGGAACGTGGGCATCGTCCGTCTCTGCTCGGCCCTGGACGCAGTCTCGCCCGGTTCCGTTTTGACCGTCTGCTCATCGCCTCCTCTGCCGCCGGCGATGCTGCCTTTGCTGCCGTCGCCGCCGCCATACCGGACCATGCCGAGGCTCTCGGCCGCCCTGAGGATGGCGGCGGCGTAGAAGTCGCGCTTGCGTCCAGAGAAGAGGGCGCGGGCGAGATCGAACGGATCCGAACGCCGAAGCATGGCCAGACCGAGCAGGCGCCCAGCATGCGTTACCTCGTTCTCTTCGCTGTGCGCGGCGCTACCATCGTCGTCCTTGAGGCTTGTCGAGGTGACGGCGGGAGCTCTCCAGATGACGAGCTTCTTCCTGCTGGCTCCCGCGGGGTCCCTAGCGAGGGCGGCGGCCAGCAGGGCGTTTGGCGAGAGCGCGAGCGTCGAATCGCGATCGGATGCCTTGGTGGGGATCTCCGACGAGGAGGCTGTAGCGGGTAGAACCGGGTCGAGCGTCACCGCATCCAAATAGCGTATCGTCTCGACCGTCGCCGTCGCGTCCTGCCCGTTTGAACCTGCCGCGGCCGCGGTCGGTGGCGACGACAGGCTTGTCACGGTGACCACATTCGAGGTAGGTGCTGTCACGCTCGACGGCGGCAGCATCGAGGTGAAGGTCTCGCCCTCGAACCGCCTGGTGAGGGCCAGGCGGGGCGACCGCTCGACCATCTTGGTCGGCTGGCCCGCCTTGCGGCACTCGAGCTGCCCGAATGCCTCGCTCAGCTCGTCGTCGTCCTTGAGCAGGTCCCACACTTTGACGATCGTGGCAGGCGCCTGGCCCGCTGCCGCCGGTGCAGCATCACCGCTGGCCACGTCAAAGGTCGCGGCAAGCCGCAGCGACGACGAGGCGGTCCCCTGCGGATCCGAATCTGCCACAGCAACTCCCGCGTCGGCTTTGCCGGGCTCCATCTGGATCCAGCACAGCGACGTCAAGGCGGCACCGCCGCCGAGTCCGGACTCTGTGGCGAGCCCGTCACCCTCCGCCGAGGTCCATGTCGAGATGAGGGGCAGCCTACTCAGCGGCCGCGTCACCATCGACACTGCGTCGCCCTTGAGGTCGATGGTGATCTCGCACAGCTGCACGCTGCTTTCGCTCGTCTGGTTCTGCTTGCACGCCACGAGAAGGACGGGCTCGTCGGCCACCAACCCAACGGCGAGGTGCGACAGCTCCGATGCGCGCGTGCCGGCTCCCGCCGCGACGTGCGACAGTCCTCGATTGGCCCCCAGAGGGCCCTCGCCGGGTGTGGGCGTGGCGCCGGTCATGTCGTTGGAGATGGTCGGAGGAGCCGGTCGGAGGGCGGGCGTGAAGAGCGACGACTGCAGCACCTCGAAAGGCGGCGCATCCCCGGCCGACGACGAGCGGCTCTGCCGATCCGAGTCGCGGCTGTGCAGCAGCGTCACTCCTCCGCGCTGGCCAAAGACGACCAGGGCCAGATCCCGCTGCGGACCCGCCGATTCCTCTGCGTTGAGGAAGCTCGGACCGCGGCCGGCCTCTCTTCGGTAGCAGTGACCGCCGCCGCCGCCGTCGATACCCGCTGCGGGCTCCTCGAGGACCCAGTTGCGCTTCCCTCCGAGCCATAGGATGCGCTTGACACGTTCTTGCAGCTGGACCCCCGCACCTGGCACTGACCCATTCAGCGATCCGGTCAGCTGCGACTGACCGTCCGCTTCGAGGTATCCCTCCCTCGAGGCTGAGGGGTCGCGTTCTCCGGATCGGTCTTCGAGCACCTCGAGGACCTGCATGATCCGCCAGCCGTTGAGCGCTCCCGTCTCTGCTCTGGACCAGATGCAGAGCTTGCCCGAGGGCGAGGCGAGCGCAGGCGGAGTATTGGACGTCACCGGCGGCAAGAGTCCCGCAGCCAGTGCTGAAGCCATCCCCGGTGCGTCGCCGAGGCCGCCCGTGGTGGAGTTCCTGGAGAGCGAGGGTATGGCAGGCGCCGCGTTGAGGCTGCCTGCTGTGGCCTGCTCAATCTGCTGCAGGGCCTGCTCCTGACGGCTCAAGAGGTGATCCTTGGCCTCCGCAGCATCGGATCGGACGCTAGAGAGCGGGAAGTAGGCGGCCAGGTAGAAGCCGCACGGGCTGAAGGCGATGCACTCGGGATCGCCGTACTCGGTCGGTCGAGGCTGGGGCAGTGTCGTGGCGAGGGAAGGATCGGCAGGGTTCGGAAATGGTTGGGCTGGGTCGTCGGGAGGGTAAAGGTGGCATGGACGTAGCGCTGATGCATCGACAGCCGAGGAGCTGTAGGCAAGGGAGCGGAGCACGACATGGGGCCGAGGCCGAGGCGGAGCGGCGGTCGTGATGGGATCGATGCCGCCAGCTGAAGGTGAGTTGGGCGAGTGTACCGGGGAGAAGGTCGAGGACGCGCGGGCGATGAGGTTGTGACGGGACCACGCCAGCTGCTGCCTGTCGGATCGACCCGCTGCGAGGTCGAGCAGGCGGTTGGAGCGCGTCAGGTCGGCCTCGTGCGATGCCGACGCCAAGAGGAGCCGTTTGGTCTGCTCGAGCTGCTCCTCGGATCGCCCGGCGGCCGATCCGATGCGCCTGCGTTTGGGCGACGACATGCCCGCCTGTTCAGCAGCCAGGATGCAGCTAGTGCAGGAGGCAAAATGGTGGCGATGACAGGGTGTCGCTGGATTGGGTGGTGGTGGTGGTGGCGCTGGTGGTGGAACTGAAGGTGAAGGTGAAGGTGAAGGTGAAGATAAAGGTGAAGGTGATGGTGAAGGTGAAGGGGAAGGTGAAGGTGAAGGTTGTCGGAAGGGTGGAGGATCGACGGCGGATCGCAGCGTCGACGGACCCGCCGGCAAGGCCAAAACTCGGAAGGCGGCCTTGGGCTGCAGGGGCTGGAGCGAGCGAACCAACGCCCCTCGGCATGCCTCCGCTCTCGGGCCATCCTTGCTTTGCCCCCTGCTGCTGGGCCCACTGTCCGAACCCCGCCGTCATCATCACTACCGCTACCACCTCCGCTCCCACCTTCGCTACCGCCATTCACCGTCGACACCATCAAAACAGGGTCAATTAAGCCTAGGTTGACTGTCCGACTTCCTCATCGAGGCAGTCCGCTCACAATGTGCACCTAGCCTCGTCTATCTGGACCCTCTTCTCCCCACCAACGCCCGAAACCCGCACCTCGGCCGGCCCAGCCGCCGCCTCTACCACCACGATGACGACGTCGCAGCTCCGGTACGAGTACGGGCAGCGCGACATATCGCTGCAGTACGCCCAGCTGGCCTACTCGTCCAACTGCCCGCGCGGCATCTACGTGCAGCTCGACGACGACGACACGCACCTCTGGCACGCCGTCGTCTTTCTCGACGCGGGCCCCTTTTGCGGCGGCGTGTTCCGCTTCGACGTCGTCTTCCCGCCCGCCTACCCGCTCGCCACCCCGCAGGTCTTCTTCCCGCCGACGCTGCTCCACCCGCTCGTCGAGCCCAACTCGGGCCGCATGAGCCTCACCACCCGCTTCCCCACCTGGAAACCGCGCAGCGACTTTGCAACGGATCTGCTCTACTTTGTCAGGGATGCTTTTATGGATCACACCCTCGAGGGTCTGAGGGAAGGGATGGTGGCCAATCTCGAGGTCTTTCGGTGAGCGGACCGAGTCGCCATCTGGTCCCCATCGTCACTCGACTGCCCACTGACCGAGGGTTGATCTCTGGCAATCCTCCTGCGACCCGTCCAACTATCCCCGCAGAATGTACCGGGACCACCGCACGCTCTTTAACAAGCTGGCGCTCCAATCCGTCGCCCTCTCTACATCGCCCTCGAGCCTCTACGACCAGTCGGGCGGTAGCGGCTTCCCGAATCCAAGCGTCGGTCTCGGCGCCTCGGACGCGCCCGCGGTGCTGCAGACGAATGGCAAACGCGGCGGCATCGAAGAGGCCAACGGCATGCTCTTCGAGGAGCTCACCGACGAAGACATGCAGCGTCTCCGCGCCGAGATCTTTGGCGAGGCCTGAGGCGCCGAGGCGCCGAGGAGGCGACGACAGGGACGAGGTGGGCTTAGCGTGGACTTCCACAGTACGAATCTGATACCATATTCCAGGCCTGCTTTCACCGCGCCGCCTTGGCTCGGCTGCCGGGCGCGGTGATACGGACAAGCGAGCGATGCAAGTACGTATGCATTGCAGCGAAGGACAGGGTCATGCTCGCCGTTGTGCCATCTCGACGACAAAGTCGTAGTAGCTGCGCGGGAGGAAACCCACGCGCTGATCGGCCTGGCCCACCTCTTTGATCTCGCTCTCGACCTCGTGGTCCTGCAGCGCCCTGACGGTGAGCTCGTGGAACGGCGCCTGGTAGCAGATCCTGAAGACGGGGTACGACTTGACGGCGTCCTCGGTGGTCCTCGATACGCCATTGCCGAGCTCGCCCTCGCCCTCGCCCTCGCCTGCGCCCCCGCATATCCGCCTGGTCTCGGCGCCCACCACGTCCCTGATCCAGTCGATGATGCGCTCTCCAAACGCCACTGAATCCTTGGGATCCCATACGCTCTTGTGCCTCACCCTGCCGTCGCCACCGCCGCCGCCGCCGCCGTCGAGGGGCGTACCGGCCCGGACCATTTTGGGGAGCGAGAGCGTGTCAAAGGTCTGCGTGGTGACGAGGTGGCCCCTAGTGTCGCGGAAGCCCACGACGAGGGTGCGCACGCCCAGCAGGAACGACTGCATGTAGAACTTGAGCAGCTTGGCCTCGAACAGGTCGACGTCCCTCTGGTTGCCCGGTCGGATCTGCATCGAGGTCTTGAGCTCGACGAGCGAGTCGCTCGCGGTGCCGCTGGACAACGACGATGACGGCGACGACGACGCCGACGGTGGCGGTGGATGAACGCAGTCGACTTCGCCCCCGAGGATGAGCCGATTCTGGCCCAAGCGGGTCTTTACGATGTAGCACCACTGCTGGTTGGTATTGACGTCGCCGCCCCATCCTGGCGGGTGTGGCGCAGAGTCCGAACGGGGATCGGATGCCGTTTGCCTCGTCGGATGCTCGAGGAGCGCGGGCCGGTGGCAGTTGTGCGGGTGCTCGACCGTCGACCAGCTCTCGAAGCTGTAGCCGTAGTATCCGAAGCGGCGGAGCCTCTGGTCTGCCTCCTTTTGCGCCTTGTCGAGCCTCTTTGCGGGCGACGAGTGCTCTTCGAGATACAGGGTACCGTCGACGAGCATGGCGTTGAGCTCGAAGCCCTCTACGCGCGCACCCGGTGCGGGCTGGAGCTGGTCCCAGGCGGTGCAGAGCTTGGTGGCGATGCCGCGCCAGGTGACGACGTCGGCCTTTTGGCGGGTCAGGTCGACGTCGTCGCGCGCCTTGCCCGAGGGGGCGGCGAGGGTGCGGTGACGAAGTGAGTCGAGGAGGCCATCGAGGTGCTCGTTTACGCTCTCGTCCCTCTGCTTGAAGCGCTCGAAGCCATAGTTGAGGTCTGCGCCGCGAGGGCCGGATGCCGGGTGCCTGCTGCCATTGGACGCGGCAGGCAGGGGTGGGCCGCGGTAGTAACGCTTGCAGCGGTCGTCGTGGTGGAGGTTGCGGTCTTGATCGTATGAGAAGGTGCAGATGCGCTGCGGCTGCTGGAAGGCGGGGAAAGCGGTGAAGGGCGAGCGGGACGAGGTGGAAAGCGGATGTGGCAGGCGAGAGAGGGCCGGGGGAGGGTCGTCTGTGCGCTGCGATTTGTGTTGCTGCGGATGGGGCTGTTGTGGATGCTCGAGGGGTGAGGAGGCACGGAGACGCTTTCCGAGGACGTCTTTTGTGCCATCTTGCTTGGGTTCAGTGGGCAGGCCAGTGTCGGTGGTTGAAGGGATCGCTGGGGCCGACATGGTGCACTGCCGGAAGCCAAGGGATGGGATCGAGGTCCGGAGAGGGGGGCAGAGGGCTGGTAGTCACCGTGGCGCTGCGGTGGATGCGATGAGAGGGGCAAGCGAAGAGACGAGGACTGTCATGCTCTGCGGGACGGTGTGGGGTATGGCAGCCGTAAGGACGGATGGGCGGCGAGAGATGATGGTGGTCGAGGGCAAGGAAGGACAAGGAGGACGCCAGCCGGAGCCAGGTCCCGTTGGTCCCTGCATCGACGGCGGCCAATTTAAATTTTCCCCGGCAAACGGAGACGACGCGCGGCATTGGACCCTGACTGGAGCTGCACCAGGCCGGCTGGCCAACCCTTGCATCGACGCAGCGCCCAAAGGTTGGATGACATACGGCAACCGAGCCATTGGCCAGCCGGGCAATCCACCGGCCACCAGTCGCACTACCACCACCACCACCACCACCACCATCACCACCGCCAACACCGCCACTGTCAGGGGCCCCATTCCCCACTCTGGCTCTGCTCCGATGCCCTTCCTAATAGACACTTCGCCATAGACGATCCTGCAGCAGCAGCGCGGCCCGCCCATCATGCTCTTGCTCCTCGACCTCGCGCAGCACGCCCCACGCTGGACTGCACACCATTTCGTCAACCCCTACACCGCACTCGCTTCCCTCGTCCTCACCGCCATCGCTGCTGCTCTCTCCTTTGTTCGCCTTTCAACAGCCAGCAAGAATGACAAAGCACGCGGTCAAGCATCGGCCCCGCCTCACCCGCACCATCCCCCGTCGCCGCCCCCGACCAGTCGGCTGCTCGGACATCGCGGCTTCCCCGTCTACGACGCCGCCTTCAACCTCCGCCTCTCGTACCTCTACGGCCCCATCATCCTGCTCCAGCACGGGCCCGCCCACCCGCTACACCTCGTCGCCTCGCTCCTCCCCTCCTTCCTCCGCCCGCTCCTCCCCGCCGTGGCACCGACGTGGCGACCGCACGACACCACCATCCTCGTCAACTCCGAGCAGCATGCACGCCACATCCTCGACCGCCTCGGCGCGCACTACTCGTCACGCGCTCCATCCATCGCCGCGGGAAAGTACCTCAGCCATGGACGCAGGCTCGTCCTGCAGCCCTACGGCCCCGTCTGGCGAACCCACCACCGCGCACTCATGTCGGTCCTCTCCCGCGACAAGCTGCGCGGCCAGTGGGACCCCGTCATGCGCTACGAGGCGGCAGAGATGGTGCTGCGCATCGCAGACGGCATCGAAGCGTTCCGCGCCAGCGCCACGCACCCGCCATCGATCTTTCAAGAGACTTCGCGCTTCACCGCCTCGTCGGTCCTCCAGATCGCCTACGCCCGTCGAGCCGCAACGCCCCAGGATCCCGTCCTCGTAGACCTTGACCGGGTGTCGCAGGGGATAGCCAGGGCCTTTGAACCGGGCCGCTTCCTCGTCGAACGCCTACCAATCCTCGACCTCGTGCCGTCCTGGCTCGCGCCGTGGAAGCAGCGCCTGCAGGCATGGCATCGAGCCGAACACGACGTCTACTCTGGCCTCGTCCAAGACGTACAGGACCGCCTGCCCAGCGAGCCGGGGCCGGGTCACAAGGGCAAGCGTCAGCAGACGGACCTGGCCGGCGGCAGCATCCTCTCGCCTTCGTCCTGCGCGACGGCCACGCTCCTGTCGATGCGGCAAAAGCTGCACCTGGACGTCGACGACATCTCTTATATCTCGGCCACCATCTTTGAGGCGGGCACCGAGACGACTGCCACGACGATCGACACGTTCCTCGTCGCCATGGCGTGCTATCCCGAAGTGGCGCGGCGGTTGCGCGCCGAACTCGATCGCCTCTTCGTTCCCGCTTCTTCCTTGGGCGGCGCCGGCGGGGAGGGTGACGACGACGACGACGAGGAGAGATGGGTACCGGACTTCGACACGTTGAGGCGCGCGCCGTACCTCGCAGCCGTGCTCAAGGAGGTGTTGCGCTTCACGCCGACCGGCAGCTCTGGGGTGGCGCACACGTCTAGCCATACGGGGCCCGACGATCTCGACGGCGGTGGCCTCGAGGGTGTACGGATATGGGGGGGCGTGTCGATCCTGCCCAACATCTACGGAATACACCGTCACCACTCGACCACCTCGTCATCCTCCTCTTCAACGTCATTGTGGACATTCGATCCATCACGACACCTCACCTCTACCTCCTCCTCGTCTTCAATGGAAGAAGAAGAAGAAGGGGAAGAAGCGACAGGAACGACCTCGCTAGATCTGACATCGTCGACGCACGCATTCGGGTTCGGACGACGCAAGTGTCCCGGATCGGTCCTGGCCAGTCACTCGTTGTGGATCGCCACGTCGCTTGTCGTGCTCCACCTCGATCTCTCCCTCGATGATGTCCCCACTGCGAACCTGGTGGAGGGGTTGAGGGGGAAGGAAGAGCGGAGCGCGTCGAAATTCCGACGTGCCTTTCCGGATGTCGTCGAGACGCAGGCGTGGAAGGACGAGAGGAGATTCCGTGCCACTGCGGGCGAGGGCGACGTCCTCCTCGATGCCTTTATTAGAGGCGACGTCTCGAGGGATCAGCTAAGGCGCGTCTTGGTATGTGCGATGAGAGAGTCGAGACCCCTAGACCGTCTACGGGCTTGGGTCCGTCGTGCTAGATCCGCTGCTCGAGATGTAGATGTCGACGTCTAGATCGCACGCTCGCCGGCATGGTGAGAGGGTGTACCGTCATGTATGGAATTCCACGGAAAAAAATGGGAGATGCGAAAAGGCGAGGGAACCCTGACTGACCCCGACTGACCCCGACCCGACCAGACCAAAGTGCTGCGAGAGCCGACGCAGAGAGGGAGGAGGGAGGGACGCAGACCGTAGTGCCCGTTCACGTGCGTGCCTCGTCGCCCTCGTCGACGACGGCGCTTGCCCCTCCCACATCGAGTGCGAGCTGGAGAGGACTGCGTGGCGCCTTGGGCGGCAGCTCGGCGTGGAGCAGGTCCCTTCGCAGCTCCTCGCCGCTTATCTCGCGGTCTAGCCCCTCGCCGCCGCTGCCGTGGTGGCTGTTGCTCGATCCCCTCCGCATCCTGCCGCCACCGCTTCCGCTTCCGCCGCCGCCGAGGGACGAAGACGAAGACGACGACGATCCGCGTCGTTTCATGCCCGTCCCATCCACCAGCAGCAGCGACGGATCCGCTGTCGTGCCCTCGGAAACAGCGGAAGAGGCGGTGGCGTCGGCGGCGGCGGCACCAACAACGGCCGGTGCGTCCGTTTCGCCGCCCTCTGCCGCGGAGCTGCCGCCGTGGGCCTCGCCGCCCTCATCGCCGTCGCCGTCGCCGTCGCTGCCGTTCGAGCTGTCGTCTGCATCTGCGTCGAGGCCGAGGCTCTTTGCCTTGCGGAAGATCTCGCCCTCCTCGCTCAGCTGCCCCTTGGCCTTCAGGCCCGAGGGCGAGCGCTCGTCCCTCTCGCGCGCCTCGCCTTCCTCCGGCTCCTCTCGATCCGCCGTCGGCGTGCGCGCGCTGTTGATGCCGAGCCCTTGGACGACGTCGCCAGAGTCGTGCCGCCCATTCGCTTTCCGCTTCCTCCCGTCGTCGTCGTCGTCGTCATCGCCGTCGCTGTCATCGTCGTCGTCGTCGTCGGAATCGGCAATGGAAAAGGCTGGGGAGCTGAGCCCTGACTCGTCGACCATCGGCGGCGCGAGCATGTCGCGCTCAGACGGCGACGGGCCGGCAAGAGCCGCCTGCTCGGACTTGGAGTCACCCAGCGGGGCAGACCCGTAGCGGTAGAACCTCTCGAGCCGCGTCGTGACCTCGTTGAGCTCGTCGTTCAGCGCCAGGCACCGCTCTGTGTGGGGCCGGGGGTTACAAGCCGATCGGCGGATTAGCAAGTGGCGCAGGTCGGGCCAGGCTTGATTTACCGCAACGTCTGTGCGCGTGCGACTCACCCAGCACATCACCCTCTTCGGCGCTGGTGGCGAGGCTGCCGAGCCTCCGCTGCAGGCTCTTGCTCTGCTTGGTCAGGTCGTCGACAAAGTCGCCGGGCGGCGCGACCTTGTGCTCGGGCGCCTCGCGTTGCCGCTTCTCCTCGCCCTCGAGCAGGTCGCGCAGCACGTTGCTGCACTCCCTCGCGGCCGCCAGCAGGTCCTCGGTCGCCTTGCGCTTGTCGCCCGCGGCCGCCAGCGCCGCCTGCTCCTCGGCCGCCCGCGCCATCTTCATGGCCTTGAGCCGCTCGTCCTGCTCCCGCGCCGCCCGGGCCACGACCGACTTGTAGATGGGCGCCGCGATCGGCTGCTTGAGCCCCTTCTGCGTCGCCTTCTGCTGCGCCAGCTCCGTGTTGCGGATGCAGCTCTGCAGGATCTCCTGCGAGAGCCGAGCAAAGTCCGGGTTGTTGGGCGGGATGTTGAGGTCGAGGCAGCGCAGGCTCTTGTTCATGCGCACCGACACGGCCAGCGCCATCACGCCGGCAATGTCGATGTCGAAATTCTCGGCCAGGTCGAGGTGGATGAGGCTCTTGGCCTCGGGCAGGAACTCGGCCAGCGCAATGGCGCCCTCGGACGAGAGGTCGGTGCCGTTGAGGAAGAGGCGCTTGAGGTTCGAGTTGAGCGTAAAGGCGGTGCGGAGCGTCGTCAGCCCTTCGAGGCCGGGGCCCGAGCAGGGGTTGTGGCTCATGTCGAGCGTCTCGAGCGTCGAGTTGTATTTGAGCGCCTCGGCGATGGCCACCAGCCCGGGCATCTCGATCTGGTTGTCGCTGAGGTTGAGGACGCGCAGCGTGCGGTTCTTCTTGAGCACCTGGGCAATGTAGGTGACGCCGCCGCGGATGTCGTTGGACTTGAGGTCGAGCGTCAGCAGGTTGCCGACGCGCGGCAGGTCCGCCAGGATTCGCTTGGCGCGCTTGGCCTGGAAGAGGGCGATGGCCTCCTCCTCGGACTGCGACGGCGCTGCGTTGCGGCGCGCAGCGCTGCGCTCGACGTCCGTCAGCCGCGCATCAATCTCGCGGCTGGGGCTGCCGAGGGGCGAGGCACCCGGCGAGCCGGCGCTGACGGGCATCCTGCGGCTGGTGAAGCCGCCTGCCGGGCTCGAGACGATCACGGGGACTTCCGGTAGGCTCGGCGAGTAGCTCCGCTCTCGGCGGTCGAAGCCCTGGCTCGAGGCAACCTCTCGCGACCTGCCCTGCCGCATCGCCGCCGCGTTGTATCCTCCCGCAGTGCCAGCGACGCCGACTTGCCGCGAACCGGCAGGCGCGCCGCCATTCTCGCGCCGAGTGCCGTTGGCCATCTCGTCGTCGATCGCCATGCTGTCGGGATAGTCCTTGAGCAGGATTGCCAGGGTGACGGTGCCGAGCTGGTTGATGCCGTTGCGCCGCAGCGAGAGGTGCCGGATTTCGGAGAGGCGGACCGAGCGGGCTAGCATCTCTAGCGTGGCCGTCTTGAGGCCGCAGTTTTCGAGCCGCAGCGAGATGAGGGCCGACGCCGGAGGCTCGGCTTCATCCGACACGTTGCGCAGCAGCGGTGCCGTGGGCATCAGCGGCTGTCCCTCTTCGTCAAAGTCGGCCTCGTCGTCCTGGTTGTCGACGGTGGCCGCCTTGTCCTCCGCCGCCGTTGATGCCGGCTCAGCGCCCGACTTGGCGGCGTTGCCGGACTTTGGCCCTCCGACGCGGGTGACGGCCTCGACCGGCTTGGTGATGGCCTGCAGGAGGTGCTCGAGCGAGGCCTTGTTGATCGAGTTCTCGGACAGATCGAGGTAGCGCAGCGCCTGCGCCCTGCGCATGAAGATGGCGACGTACTTCCAGCCGTTGAGTCGGATCTTGCGGTTGCTCGCCAGGCTGAGGTTGGGCAGGGTGCCAGAGACGAGCAGCGCGTGCAGGATCGACTTGAGGCTGCTGTCGGTCAGCGAGCAGTTCTCGAGCAGCAGCTTGGTGAGGCCAAAGTCGACGCTGAGCAGGTCGGCGATCGGCTCGACCGCCTGCCGATCGAGCGGGGTGGACGACAGGTCCATCGTCCTGAGACCGGGCGGCACTGCCTGGGCGGCGTCCTGGAAGACGATCCGCATCCTCTTGAGCGGCTGCTCCTCTCGCGTGCGGCAGCACTCGCGGTAGAGGGCCTCGAGCTCCTCGGGCGTCCACTTCTTGCCCTTTAGTGCGCGGACCGTCTTGCGGTGGTCGCGCTCGACCCGGATCCTGGTAAGGTCCTCGTCCTCGGGCGTGCCCGTGCCTTCGATCGGGTAGGTGACCTTCATCAGCGAGACCTGGAACTGCACCTTTTTGAGCGGCGCCGCTGAGATGGTGACGTCTGATGCGGTCGATGACGCGCTGCGGACCGACAGGGTGCTGCCGCCGCCGCCTTCGCTGTTGACCGAGGTTGCGGTGCCCTGCCTCTGGGGCGGCCCGCCAGGACCAGAGTCATTGCTCCATCTAGCGGGATGCTGCTGTTGCTGCTGCTGCTGCTGCTGTGGGTCCTGGTAGCCACCGAACCCGGCGGCACCTGGGCCACCGACATTGGCCGCTGCTCCCGCAGCAAAGCCAGAGATCTTTCGGAAGACGCCGCCGATGTAGGAGGCGGTGGCCTGTGCGGTGCCAGCCTGCGGGACGGGAACTTGTACATTTACGCCCTGCTGTGCGAGGCGGGTATTTAGGTTCTGGAGGATGTCCCTGCGGAACGAGAAGCCCTTTTGAGGCGGCGGTGCGGGCTTGAGGATGCCCTTTGGCCTGGGCGCCGAGCGCCGCTTGTAGACGGGGCGGCGTGCCGGTGGTGAGGCCGCCTCTGCAGCGTCGGGTGCGCCTGGGCTGCTCGCAGGGGCTGTGGTCGCAGAATCGGGCTGGCCTGCGTTGGCAGCTGGCGAAGATGCCGGCGAAGAGGTGGCGGACAATGGGCTGGGGTCAGAGGGGCGGCTTTGGTCGAGGGCTGGGTCCTTTGCAGGAACCTTGGGCGGAGGTGTCGAGGGTTGTGCAGGCGTGTCGAATGAGCCGGGCAAGACGGGGGATGCTGGTTGTTGGGGTGGCTGTGTGTCGACTAGGCCGGTGAGGGGAGCGTCGCTGTGCGGCTTGGGGTCGGTGCCTTGGTCCGTGGCGTTGGTGGTGGCGGGAGGAGGAGGAGGAGGAGGCGAGAGCGGGTCGTCATGGTTGCCTATGGAGCCGTGCTTCTGTGGTGCGGCTGAGTCGTTGACCATGGTCAGTGGAAGGCAGAGGTGGGGGTGGTGCGGCGAGCGAGGCGGTCGCAGCTGCGAAGGCGACGCCGCCGGCAGAGCCTGTTGAGATTTCGAAGACGGCGGGGAAGCACGCAAGGAGCGACGCTGCTAAGGGTTGGTCATTCGAGAGCGGTATGCAAGAGGCGGCGGCGGTGGTAGCGGTGGTGGTGGTTGGAGAGGGACAGGTTTGACGCACTGCGGCGATGATGGATGGTCGTGGCGGCCTCAAAGAGATGTTAGGCGATAAGCGTCGAGAGAGAGAGAGGATATGTCGTGGTGGCGACGACAGAGGGCGAGCGGGAAAGAGAGGGAGATAGAGACGAGGCAGCCACTGAGCCCCAGACGCACAGACAGACAGCGGGCGAGGGAGAGCAACACGCTCACGGCCAGCCAGCCAGCCAGCCAGCCTTCTCACGCGGGCCCTGGCCGATGCAGCCAGGCCAGGGCCTCAGGGCCAGGCGGTGCCCCTTTTCTGCCCGCCCTCTCCCTCTGGGCCTGGCGTGGCCTGGCGTGGGCTGGCTGCGCTGGGCTGGCTGCCCGCCAAGGGGCAGGGCGCACGGTTGCCTGCCCGTTTCCGTGGGCGCTGCTGTTGCCTGGCAGGCCTGGCCTGGCCGGGCCCACTCGATCCTGGCCTGCCTCGCCTAGTGCCAACTTCGGAACTCGGAAGCGGCTGCCACTCAACCAAACCAACAAAGCGGGCCATGGACCCCGGGGCCGACCCACGCCGCTTGCCGTCTTCCTCGTCCTCTGCCACCTCGCCACTCTCCTCCTCGCCACCATAACCACCATCACCACCAGCCTCCGACACTTCCTGCAGCCGCGCTTGGCATCCGCACCATCACTTCACCGCCGCTGCAACATGGCAGCATCGCACCCGCCCGCGGCCACCGCCACGCCAACACCCGACCTCGCCGGCCCCTCGACCCAGACCACAACCTACAAGCCCCGCCCCGCACGCAAACAGGTCACACAGGAACGCCTACGCGCCCTCATCGAAGCCGCAAAGCCGCAGAACAACTCCGGCGGCATCTACAACATCTGGCACGAAAACTTCTCCGGCGGCGACCGCAACGAGAAAAAGGGTCTCGAGCGCGCAGAGACCCGCTGCGACATTGCCCGCGACGCCGGATACACAAAGGCAGACCTCGCAACACGCAGGCAACCTCCTTCGTCGTCGTCATCCTCCTCGACTGCCACTCCGGAAAACGACGGCGCCTACTGCTGCCTCTTTTTCGCACGCGGCTGCTGCCCCAACGGCGCAGAGTGCACCTACCTCCACCGCCTCCCGCGCCCCACCGAGTTCAACGACCAGGGACGCGACATCTTTGGCCGCCCCAAGTTTGGAGACTACCGCGACGACATGGGCGGCGTCGGATCCATGCAGCGCGTCAACCGCACCCTCTACGTCGGACGCATCCACGAGGAAGGCTCCGGCGCCATGTCCCAGGGCGGCGCCGCCAACATGGGCTCCAGCCTCACCTGGCGCGACGGCGGCCGCACCCTGCGCGGCGGCAAGAGCGTGTCGGACGTGCGCAGGCGCGACCCCGCCGCGCGCGGGCCCAGGCAGCCCTACGTCGAGAGCGACACGGAAAAGGTGCTCCGCCGCCACTTTGGCGAGTGGGGCGAGATTGAGCGCATCAAGGTGCTCCACGGCCGCGCGTGCGCCTTTGTCACCTACCGCCACGAGACGAGCGCCCAGTTTGCAAAGGAGGCCATGTACCTGCAAAAGCTCGACCACAACGAGATCATCAACGTACGCTGGTCCACCGACGACCCCAACCCGGGCGCCCAGAAGCGCAACGAGCGCCAGATGAAGCAACAGGGCGAGGGCGCCATCCTGGCAAACGTGCGGCCCGACACCGTCGAGGCTCAGGAGGCGCTCAGGAGGCTCGAGGGGACGCTGCCGGACGACCAAGGGGGGAGAGCGCGAATGCCAGAGGCCAAGCGGCGGAAGCTGGAAGAGGACGAGGCAGCCTACGAGGCGGAAATGGCCAGGCTCGACGAGGAGAATGCCCGCGGGTGGGAAGAGATCAGGCGGGAGCGCGAGGCTGCGGCCGCAGCGGCATCTGCGGCATCGGCGGCATCAGCGGCGGCGACAACAACAAACGCGGCAGGGGCTAGCGGCAGCGTCGGCGGCGGTGGCGGACTGTTGAGCGCCGAGGTGGTAGGCAACCTCCAGGCCCTCTCTGCGTTGCGGCAGAAGCCACAACCAGCGGCCACGACGGCGACGGCGAAACCGACGGGTCTGGGCAGTCTGGCCGCGTATGGCAGCGACAGCGAAGATGGCGACGACGACGAGTAGGCGCCGGTGTCGGACGCAGGGGCAGGCCGGACGACGCCGTGATGCAATGCCAGGACGACCACGGTCCACGACATTCTCACACCGATCGCGCGTCGCTAGGGCAGACGCCAGCGTTTGAAACGAATCCGTCAATGCTTGTGCGACACGACCGGGGCGGTCTCTCTACGACAGGGGCACAAAGTCGTCTGCGAGGTCGCCGCACCACTGGAGCATATCGTCGACCCAGGCCTTGATGGCCTTGTGGGGCGACCAGATGTCGCGCACCACGGCGGCCCCTGCGGCCCGCGAGAAGACGTACCATCCAAACAGGACAAACTGCCGTCGTCGAGGGATGGGCCGGGACGGCATAGCAGGGAGAGAGGGGGAGCGGAATGGGGTGTCAGCATCGTCGTCTACGCACATGCAAATGGACCGATACGGCAAGGCGGGGCGGCAGACTCACATCGGCATGGCTGGGTTCCTCACCGCCCGCGACCCACCTAGACCGCTTGGGTCGCACCGAGAGAGGTGCAAAGTCACCAACGAGGTCGTTGCCCGTCCTCGACGTCGCACCACCCGCCGCCGCGGCATTGCCCGCCTGGACCGACTCGAACGATCCGGCGCCCTCTGAATTGAGCATAGTCTCGACGACGGCGAGCTTGGATACGACGTTGTGCACGAGCGCCTCGCGTTCCGGCGCCGAGAGGGTCGAAATTTTGTTCCAGCGCGCCGCGCCGATCTTGACCTGGGAAAAGTATTCGGCCGACTCGGCGTCGAGCAGCCGGTGCACGCCCGGCATCACGAGCGGACCCAGTGAGGGCGCCAGGATCGACTTGCCAAAGTCGTTGAGCAGCGCGGCCAGACGCTTGGTGGCCGAGTTGCCGAAGAGGCGGTGGCCAGAGGGGTGGTTGCGTTCCAGGTACTGCGCGACGAGGTGGCGGTGCGGGAGAAAAAGGGGGGTCAGTGACTCGGAGTGCGCGGCCGGGCGGGCGAAGGGACGAAGAGGGGGGGGAGGGCAGAGCGTCTGCTTACCTCTGCAATGGCCCAGCTCTCCATGATGTGGGTACCATCGGCGAGCTCGAGGGCGGGGACCGTTACATTCTCGGCGATCCTCTGGGCGAGCTGGCCGCGGATCTGGGTAAAAGTGAGGCGGTTCCTCTCGTAGCCGACGCCGAGGAGTTTGAGGTCGAGGATCGTCTTGATGGTATGCGGCGAAAAGGTGAGCGTAGCTTCGGGTCGGGTGGTGAGGTCAAAGAGGACCAGGTTGTCGGATGCGCCGTTGAGCGAGCGTTCCGGGTGCGGGCCGGCGGGCGTCGACGCGGTTCGGGCCGGGCCCGGTTGCGAGGCTTGGGCGACGGCCTGCTGCGTCGAGCGCACGTTGCTGCTCGCCACCGATTCGGACATCCCGTCGTCGTTGTCGTTGTCGTCGTCGTTGTCGCCGGTGTCGTCGTCGCCGCCTGCGTCGAGACTCGACTCGATGTCGGATTCCCGACCCGATGCCGACGCAGCGGCCGAGGTGGCCGGGGCAGTCGACGCGTCGTCGGTATCGGCCGTCGAGCCGGATCGTTTGGCAATCTGTTCTGGTTCCATGGCGGCCGAGGGGGCGCGATACCGTAGCTGAGACGTGTGCAGGTGCGACGTAGGCCCAAAAGGCGCGCTGTGGGGCGATCAAGAGCAGGCTAGGCGGGCCGAGATGGTGGTAGCCAGGACGGAAGTGCAACCCTGGTTCCACGCATAGACCCCGGCCTGTTCGTGCTCGATGCCTGCCTGTCATCCTCCACACGACCTGGCGCACGAGCCACGCCCCATCGGTCCGCGCCCGAGAGTCGACCTCCGCGCCTGTGCTGAGGGTGGAGCGCTGGAGGCCAGGATCGCACGACCCTCGCTCCGTCGCTCCCGGACCATCACATGTCCACGTCCACGTCCATCCCGCTCGCCCAGAGGTCGTTGCTCCGCTCATATCCGTGCATCAGGCCGCGACACCACACCTCGGATCCGCCTGCCTCCAACACCCAGCGTACCCCTCGCCCAACAAAACGGTAGCGGGCAGGCGGGCGGGGCATCTTCACGGGCCAACCCCCGAGCCTCGGGATCGATGAGCCGGTCCCTCTGCCTGCGCACCGGCTTCGTCCTTGCCGTGAAGAGGGGCATACAAACCGAAGAAGCGGAGCGACGTCCCATGCCATGACTACTGACCTAGGTACCTGTTCCATGCCATGCCATGTTATGCCATGCCATGTCATTCCGATCCGATCCGATCCATCCCGACGTCTATGGAGACGCGCAACGCAACGACCGTTCATGCTCCATGACTCGATCTAGGTCCACCTGGTGGCCTTTGATCCCCATCCACCCTCTTCTCACACCCCTCGATTTCGGATGATGACGCCCAACACCACTCGCCGTAGGTGCATTGGGAAGACGAGGTGGTCTGGCCAAGCAGAGGGAAGGGGGTTCGTGTTTTTCCGAAGGCTTGGTTCTTGGCTCTGTACGTGCGGTAGGACGGGTGCAGCCAAGCCTGCCGTGTTCGTACCACGAGGCGATGACGATGACGAGGTGAGACAAGCGAATTGGTCGCTGTCGTCCTCGTCGTTGCGGCACCTACCCACCGCGCCAAGGTGGCAAGCAGGTTACGTTGACTGTGCAGAACACGCAGCGAGGCACACGCGCGCGCCACCCTGCTCAGTCTGGCCTGGCCTGGCCAGGTCAGCCGAATCAGCGCACCGAAATCGCCTGCCACAGTACGCTGTAACCCATTCGGGCAGTACCGTATCGTACCTCGACTGCTGCACCTCGTCACGGCCCTTGGAAGCCATGCGAGTCATGTGCAGCGAGGCAAGTTAGACCTCGCAAGCGTGCAGCAGCCTGGGTCGACGAGGGCAGGTGATCGTCTTGGCTGCACAGGTACCTAACCGTACCGTTACTGTACGCGTCCGTTCCCGGCGTGGCAGCTGAGCGAGACGGACCGATCGTCCACGCGGCACGTCGATGCGAAAGGTAGAGAGGGCGATAAGGCAAGGCCTGCATCGTTTGCGGGGTAAGGGGAGGACGAAGTGTGGGGTAAGCGGGCCAAGTGCAGCGAAGCAGCATCAGCAGCGCAGTCGGGAAGCCACGGGCATGGAGCCTGGGGGTGACACACGATCATCATCCGATCTCGGTCACCCACGACGTACGCCGCACCGACCTACTGGAGGAGGAGGAAGGCGACGACGACAAGGAACGGACCGGGTGGACACGGCATTGCGCAGCCTGCCTGCCTACCAACTGTGGGGTCTAGATCTCTGTTTACCGTGTACGGTACCTAGGTTGAAGGAGGGCTACGGTACCCATAGCTCATGGACAGCAAGGCTTGCGCCGACGAGTGTGGGGTAACTAAGGCATCTATCATGGAGCTCGAGGGACAAAGCTGGGTCGGGGACATGGGTAGGTACCGACCGACCGTATGTACAAGACGGCGAAACGGCCATGGGCCACGGGGATGGCCACGGACTTGCTGGAAAGGGAGGCTAGGGCCTAGGGATGGCTCACCGGCTTCTGGTCGATCCGGACTCGGGCCAAACCACCGGTCCAACCTTGTCCCTAACCTCCGGTCTGGTCGGCAAAGGGAGGGAGCACCAAGCGAAGGCGGACGACGGGGCTAGGAGGGGCGGGGCTGCGAGGGCAAGCCACGAGCCATCACGCGGGTCCAAGGAGGAAAGGAGCTAGCGAGCGGAAGGCAGGAGCGGACAAACGTGCGTGTACCGTGCCTAGATCCGCCCCACCCCTGGCTGACCGGGCTGGCTGGCTGGATGGCTGGCTTGCCTTCGGCTTCATCTCGAGCCGGTGCTCGCTTGAGTGTGTTGCCGGAGATTTACCTCGAGGCTCCATCTGTTTGCCCAGGGGATACGTACGGTTGGGCATGATCAGGCGAGGCGAGGCGAGGCGGGGGGATTGAGGTCGTCGCGGTCCATGGACAAAGGCGGACGCGCGGCGGGGGCGGAGGCGGTTGCTAAAATGGGCAAGTCGAGGGCAGGGCGCGTGGTCCGCCCTACGGCCCGTACCTGCCTGGGATCAATTCCTTTCTCCGCTCCGCCGTCGTCGAAGGGTCAGATGGAATCGAGCGGACCTTGGAGGCTGGGTCGGTCGGTTGGTCAGTCGTGCCGCGACGATGGATGGAGGTGGCTACGGTACCCGTCGAAAAGGCCAGGCCAGGCCAGGCCACTCCGGAGGGGAGATGCCTGCGAGAACGAGCGGGTGTGGTTGGGCATGGATCTACTACTCTTGTGCCTCGACTGCCCCAGCGTCGACGGCCAAAACATCCATCTCCCCGAGGCCCAAAGAATCGATGTCCGTAACTACGTATTGCAATCTAATCTATCTCGTGGACCGCAGGCCCTTCCGGCCGCCGCCTGCTGCATCAAGACGGCGGCAAAGGGGCTGCCATGTCACATCCGCCTCGCCATCGTCAGTTTCATTGTTGTCGACCGCCCCGCGGTGGCGCCAGTCGTTGTCGTCCGGTACGTTTGCTCGTGTCGTATGCGCGGGCTTGGCCTGATCTTCCCTGGCCAGGTCAAGGTCTGATCGTTTGCCACAGCCAGGCAGAGCAGCGAGGGAGGCCAGGGTGGGGAGGGCAGGTCGCGGCGGGCGTTCGTGCTGACCGCCCGCTCGGCGATCGAAGGCCAGGCCAGGCCAGGCCGAGCCAGTCGAGGCGTGGCACGGCGTGGCCGATGCGTTGAGGAGCCCCGCGCCAAGCCTTCGGTCGTCGACCGATGCGACCCTCGCCTAAAGTGGCAGCCTGCATGAGGCTGCAGGGACAAAAGTGCGGGGAAACCGACCCCAACCTAGCTAGAAGCAAAGCCGACGCCAACCCTCGTCGTCCCGGGCCAGGTGGGGCAGAGTAGACTGCCTGGCCTGCCGCTACGCCATCACCCTTCCAGTCACAACAAGTCCAAGCAAGGTGAGGGAGATCGATGCAGAGTCATGGTGCGCGGCCATACATACTACTGCAGCAGGGCCACGCCGGCCTCGTATGGTGGCCGCAGGCGGGGCGGATATTCGGCCAGGGCGACGGCGCCTGCGTCGAGTTTGATTTCGAGTGCCAAGCCTGGCTGCCACAGGTCAGACCTGCCTGCCTGTTTTGTTCGACTGCGCCGGGCTCCCGCACCACACAGGCTGCCCGCCGCAAAAACTCTTGGCTCTGCGGGCCGCGCCGATGAATACCATCGCATCGTCTTTAGGGCACGACGTGCGATTGCAGGTCATAGCTCAGGTTTGGTACGGCCATCGACGAGCGCGACGCCTGGATGGGTCGACGTCAGAGGATGAGAGAGAGATCGTATCGTGGACGGGTGACTCCCCGCGCTGACCATGATCATGGCCGTGGTCGCCACGAGACGGCCGATTATCTTGCCAGCTAGCTCTGGCCTTGCGACTGCCTCGCTGGCAGGGCAGACGAGGGCGGGACGACGACGGGCGACGCGCTGCGATGCGCTGCGATGTGATGGGGTCCCTGGCCTCGGCCTCCTGGCGGCTGGCTGGCCGACTGCTTCCCTTGTGACCCCCACCCTGCCGAGGCGGAAAAACTGTCATGCCCAACGACGCACCCGACGCCCTTTTGTCTGCTGTCCGTCGACGGGAGCGGCGGATGAGCGTCTAGGCCCTCGTCCGGCCAGGCAGACCTTCCCGATGCGTCGGGCTAACAGCTGCGCCGCACATACAGTAGTAACCAAGTGGCCTGTCGCCGGCTTTCCCGCCAGCCTGGGCCGTCGCCTCTGCTCTGGTGCCCTCGCTCGCTCGCCGCACTCCAGACGGATGCACCGGTGGCAGCCACGCGACGCCTCGTGGCTGTCCTCTGGTTTTGCCCCCCGGCCTCGCCTTTCTCCGCCTCTTTGCTGTCTCGCCCCGCCCTGGGCCACCCTCGGCGTCGGCGGTCGAGCCGTTTCGTCCTTTTGGCCGGTGCGTCGTTGTGCTCGTTTGGGGCGCCCATCCTGCCTGGCCCGCAAAGTTTGTCGTCCCCTTTGGTCCCTCGCTGTCCGTCGTCCGTCGTCCGTCGTCGAGCTCTTGCCACGGCTGTCCGCCGCGCCTGTACCTACCTACCCCACACTCGCATGCATGCAGCGGTGCAGGCGGGTGGTTGTTTTCCTGGATCAGAGGTCGGCGTAGACTGGTCGCCGTTTTGGTGCTCCGCCGCTCATCTTGTGCCCGTTCTGCCCTCGTCCGCTCGCAGCCCGAGACCAGGCGCTCGGTGCAGTCGTGCCTGAGCGCTGATTGCCACACTCTCACCAGTCGTCTGCAGCCTCGGATCGCCCGACTTGAGTGGCGGGTCGGCTGTAGAGGAGCGCAGCGCGATGCCGTGGCGGCAAGGAGATGCGCGGACCATCCGAAACGAGGCGTGTGGCGACCAGAGGGGCGGGAGGGCCCACGTACGGCGGTACCAGCTCGCTGCACCCCAGACGACCGACGGGGCCTGCATCAAGCGCGGGGTTGGCAAACGAGGGAGCGAGCGAGCGAAGCAGGAAGGCAGCTGCCCTCGGGAAGCCCGCCCCGCAGGAAACGCGGACGGGCCAATGGGCCCAGGCAGAATGGCCAGAAGAGGGCGGTGCGGTGCAGTGCAGTGCAGTGCCGCCCATCGCAGCCCAGAGTTGCCGCTGGACGCTGCTACGCCCGCCGCCACGCCACGTCCTCACGGCTTTCCCGCGCTCCGTGGCAGCCTAGCTTGCTCGTGTACGGCGTGTGCATCGAGCTAGAGCTAGAGCTAGAGCCAGAGCAACAGGCCAGGCCAGGCCTCGGCCGCTCGCTGCAACCACAACTGACGACGATGCTTCCTGCGCAACCAGCCCGCTCGCCCTCGATCGTCTACTTAAACCCTCCCGCCCCACCTCGTCCCCAGCTTCATATCGCCCCATCGTCTCCTTCCCCCTTCACACAGGCGAACCAACCCTCCCTTCCTTTCCGCTCCTCTACGGTACCCTCCCCCTCAAGGCCCTCGGTCCTTCGTTCACGGCCCCTTCCGCTTGCTCCTTGCCCGCCTGCCTCGACGACCCACCGCAAGCGCCAACTCGCTCGGCGCGCCTGTTTCTTCCCGCTACCACCCACTGCCACGGATCCATCGATACCCGTTCCCAGCATCCCGCACCCCCTCCGCTAGCCCCACCGTCCAGCCGTAGCCAGCTCCACCGACCGCAATCATGGCTGACAGACCCGCACACCACATCGACTCGAGGTCCTCGGACGAAAAGGAGGACAAGGTGGCCGTCGGCACCACCGATGCCCCCTTCCACTCGGAGCCCGAGCTGGGCTACACGCGCCAGGAGGCCGCCGACGCCCACGAGCTCACCGGCGGCTTCTCGGACATCAACTCGGGCTTTGACGAGCAGGAGATCAAGCGCGTCCGCACCCGCATCGACCGACGCCTCCTCCCCATCCTCGGCGCCCTCTACTCGATCGCCCTCATCGACCGAACCAACCTCTCGGCCGCACGCATCGCCGGCGCCGAAAAGGACCTCAAGCTCAACGTCGGTCAGAACTACACGATCGCCACCCTCATCTTCTTTGTGCCGTACATCATCTTCGAGATGCCCTCGAACCTGCTGCTGCGCAAGATTGGCCCGGCCAAGCAGCTCAGCGCCATTGCCACGCTGTGGGGCATCGTCATGATGGCCCAGGGCTTCGTCAAGGACTGGAAGCAGCTCGTCGTCACCCGGTTCTTCACCGGTCTTCTCGAGGCCGGCTTCTTCCCCGCCTGCGTCCTCCTCGTCTCTTGCTTCTACGTCCGCCGCGAATCGCAGGTGCGCATGTCGGCCTTCTACCTCGTCTCCGTCGGCTTCTCGGGCTTCTCCAACATCATCGCATACGGCATCTCGAAGATGAACGGCCTCGGCGGCCTCGCAGGCTGGAGGTGGATCTTCATCATGGAAGGTGAGCGACGACCGCGGCCTTTTTGATCTGTCAAGGGCTTTCCATTGCCACGCGATGCGATCGACGCTGACTCGGACCCCCCCCCCTTCCATCCTGTCTGTGGCATTCGAACAGGCTTGGCTACCATTGTTCTCGGAGTGTCTGCCTACTGGCTCATCATCGACTTCCCCGACCGCGCCGTCGAGACTGGCTTCCTCAAGCCCGAGGAGCGCGACCTGATCCTCACCCGTATCCAGCGCGACCGCGGCGACGCCGAGGCCGACCCGCTGACGATGGCCAAGCTGCGCAAGTACGCGCTCGACATCAAGCCGTGGATCTACGGCATCATGTTTATGAACACGACGCTGCCCACGTACGCCTACGCCTTCTTCCTGCCCGTCATCCTGCGCGGTATGGGCTACTCGATCCGCGACACGTTCCTGCTCGGCGCGGCGCCCTACTGCGTCGCCATGGTCATGGCCTTCGGATTCGCCCTCATCTCGGACCGCTTTTTCACCCGCATCCCCGTCATCGTCACCCAGTGCCTGCTCACCATCGTCGGCCTGGCGATGCTGTTCGACACGACCAACAAGAACGTCATGCTCGCCGGCGCCTTCCTCGGCGTCTCGGGCGCCAACGGCAACATCCCCGCCATCCTCAACTTTTCGCAGAACAACATTGTCGGCCAAAGCAAGCGCAGCTTCGTGTCGGTCGTCGTCGTCAGCTTTGGCGGCATCGGCGGCATCTTTGCCTCGTGCGTCTACCAGTCCAAGGACGCGCCCCTCTACCGCCCGGGCCTGTACGCCACCATGGCCTGCCAGGCGTTCAACGTCGTCGCCTGCCTCTGCTTCGCCATCTACTTCTCCTGGGCCAACAAGAAGGTGCGCGAGGGCAAGAAGGTCGTCGAGGGCAAGCCCGGCTTCACCTACACCATCTGAGCCGCCGGTCCAAGGTGGGCACCTGCACCTTTGCACCCCCGCCTCCTCGTCTCGCTCTTCGGCTTCTGCTCGGTTTCCCTCCCCCCCCGCCGTCTCACCTCACCATTTTCTCAAACGACCAGGGCTTTACACTTGTTGAGGGCTGTATGTATACTATTCCAAGTTCCCACCTTTCACGATTCCCACTCCGCCTTCCCCCTTTCACGATCCCAACTCCCCGCCGCCGCGCCTCCCGGCTCCTCTTTCCTGTCCGCCCCGATCTCCTTTTTTACTATCTGCTTGCCATCCCATCCTCCCACGAATATACCGGAATGAATCCACGTCCCATCAGTCCAGTCCTTCTCGTGCCGCCCGTCTTGCGTTTGTGTAGGCTGCAAGGTGGTTGGTCTGGTCTGCTCTTGTCCAGTCTAGTCTTGTCTGGACGAGACGAGGCGAGGCGAGGCGGGTCAGACCGGGCGTGGCGCAGAAGAGGGATCCTCTCTTGCTCCAAGGCCGCTCCGACCTGAAAGCAGGGTGCGTCAGACAAGGAAGGGATCGGTCGAGTGGTCAAATCCGAGTGGCAGGGCATTCTCACGCCCTCGCCATCGAGGCTGGATTCCGTCTGTCGCGACACTACGCAACACAACACAACACAACACAACACAGCAACACAACCGTCTCTGACGCCGTGCTGACAACCAAGTCAGACCGCCTCCACGTCCGAGACCGCCGCCATGTCGGCTAAAGACCGACCCAAACCGCACGGCGCAACCACCTCCTCCTCCTCGTCTCCGCCTTCATCTTGCGATCATGATCCACCACGCCCGCCTTCAAACCCTCCCCCTCCCCCTCCCCCCTCCCCCTCCCCCCTCTGCCTCCTCCCCCTCATCCTCCCCCTCATCCTGAATAAGGTCAAAGATGCTCGGAGGGTAGTCGGGCACGCCACCGCCGTGTCCGTACGGGTACGGAGAGGGTTTCTGCCACGACGAATCGGTGTAGACGTATCCCTCGTCGTCGACGCCCACGCTCGACCAGCTCCCGCCCCAGTCGATCCGCCAGTCCTCCGAGGGGATCCACGCCCAGCCCGCTTCCAGCGTCATCGACACCTGCCTGCTGCGTTGAACCGAGCCCGTGCGAGAAAGACGAGAGCAGAGCAGAGGGCGAAGGTAAGCGCTGAGTCATCTCTCCGGAATACCCGCAGCTCGGCCCTTCCCGTGGGCTGGGAGGACGGCGGAAAGGTTGTAGACACTTACCTAATGTCGATGCTCGCTCCGGGGATCACGTCGAGGTCGTCAGAGGACCAGCCGTCGGCGCCCTTTGTCCACGGCCTCCGCTCGCCCACGTTGAGGTTGTGCGCGCTCCACCCTCCCACGAGCCCGCTCGAGCTCGATGCGCGGTTCGTCGGCTGGAAGCGTTCGTTCCTGCGACAGCCAAGGGCGTGCCAGGTCGATGAGGCGGAAGTCAACAGCCCGGATCCATCATCGCTGCGGCGACAAGCGCGCGAGACTCACTCAAACATCTCGACGTTCCTCCACCCCTTTTCCCACACATCGTCGTCGAGGCGGTCCTGCTCGACCCACTCGCGCAGCCGGTGGCCGCCCTCCTTGAGCAGCTTGACCATCCTGCGCCCCTCGCGCGACGAGTTGATGCGCTTGCCCACGCCCTGCAGCGCCGGAAGCGTCCACGGGTGGTTGAGGATAAAGGCGCCCTCGCCGGCGAGGAAGAGGACCAGGCGGTAGGGGATGTAGGGCGCGACGAAAAAGAGGAGCGCGGTGACGAGGATCGACAGCTGGAAGACGTGCAGGCTGCGCGTGTACGACGACCAGTTGAGGTAGGGCACCAGCGGGGCGATGGCGTCGTACCCGTCGATGACCAGCCTCATCCTGAGAGATGGGAGAGGGGAGCGGCGATGGGGTGCTGTCAGTCGGAGCATCAATGTGTGCGCCGGGACGCGACTGACGGTCCTGGCGCACTCACATGTTCTGGATGTCGCGGAGGTTCTCGTAGTACTTGATGCTGCCCTCGTGGGGCGGGTTGGGCACGAGCGGGGGCTTAACGTCGCCCTCGCCCGTCTTTGTCGGGTGGCCGGTCGAGTACTCGAGCACGTCTGCGGGCGTGGGGCCGGCTGCCGCCCTCTTTGCCTGTTGCGCCTTGGAGTGCTCCCTGTGGCCCGCGCTGGCCTTTGAAGGCGACGAGGACGATGCTGCTGCTGCGGCTGCGGCCGCCTCCTTTGCCTTTGTTGCCGTCGTCATGGGGTCCTCGAAGCGGGCGCGGTGGGTCGAGATGAGGATGAAGGCGAGCACGGTGCTGGGCATGAGGACGAGTGTCCACGGGTAGATGGAGATGACGGCCCAGATGGCCATCCACATGAGGGTCCAGCTGGTATCCTGCCACACCAGGGTGGCCTGGACGCCGTCCTGGAAAAAGAAGATGGGACCGGACTTCTGGACGAAGCCGCGAAAGTTTTTCGTCGTCGTCGGGAGCGAGAGGGGCTCCTTTGTCTGTGAGATGGGGAGGCGGGGCGGCGCTGCCGAGGCCGAGATGATGGATTCGATGGCAAAGTTCTGGAGCGCCGTCGTCGTCTGCTGGAAGAGGTTCGAGGCCTTGCTCGACGACGACACCGTGTTGGCGCCGGCCGATGCGTCGGTCCGGCCCGATACCGAGGGCGTGTTGGAGCCGGTCGAGGACGTCGAGAGTCGGCGCGCTCCGATGCCCCAGCTCGCGGGCAGCTTGGATGCGGCGTAGAGCGAGCTGCGCTGCGGAGCGGGCGAGCCGAGGGCCGCGTCCGACGTCGAGGCGGTCATGCCGCCGCGGCCGCCTCGGCCATCCGAGGGAGAAGATGGTGTCGAGGCCATCACGGGCAGAGCGGGTCGGGTGAGAAGAGCAGCAGTGAGGGACGAGGCCGACCGAGGGGCGATGGTGGATCGGAGGAATGCCAGTGCGTCAGAGTGGGTCAGGCCAAAGGCGGGGCGGGTGAGGCCAGGCAGGCCCAAGTCAGGCGAGCGGTCCGTGGGCGCGGCGCCCGTTGGCCTCCAGCCAGCCAGCATCTTTGGCCTGCCTCAGCTGCCGCCCCGCCTCGCCGCTCCACATGTGGGCCCAAAGTCCAGCGTGAAATCCCAGCTGGCCGGGCCTGGCCGGCCACACACGCCCGATGGTGGCTGCCCGATGGCCCATGCTTGGTCGCCCGTCCCCCAATCTTCCTCAGAGGCCAGGATCAAACACGCTGCAGCCAGGGCATCTCTTGTCTCGTCGCTGCGATGGATCGATGGATGATGTTACAGACGGTGAAGCTTGGGAGGGATCGATAACAGCGGCGTCGGCTAGGGCTCGACCTCGATCAGGTACTCCCTCGGCTTGGTCTGGCACACGAGCTTCTTCTTGCTGCCCGCAAACAGCTGCGCCTGGAACGCCTCCTGCGCCTCGGCCGACTCCTCGTCCCGCCATTCCAGGTCAATCCACCTCTCGGCGTCGGCCTCGCGCTGCGCAGCCATCAGGTGGTCCCTTCCCTCTGACCCCCCACCGCCGCCGCCGCCGCCCGCACCGCCCTTGGCCGCATTGGGGTCGCCGCGCATCGCAACGCTCAGCGTCTGCGCCGCCGGCTTCTTGTCCTCCTTCTTGGCCGCCTTTTTGCGCGTCGATCCCGGCCCGGTCGCCTCCATCTCAATCAGGTCGTCGTCGTCGTCGTCGTCGGACCCGGCCTCTCCCGCCGCCGCAGCGCGATCCCGCCGCTTCTCGGCCTCCCGCGCCTCGTCGAGCGCATCCAGGTAGTGCATCGACGGACGCAGCTGCACCACCGAGCTCAACGGCGTCAGATGCAACGCCTCTGTCACGGGTGAAAGGGCATGACCGGGGAGAGAGAGGGGAGATCGGCGTCAGCGCTGAAGCCCGAATCGGTCCGTAGAGCCACGACCTGCTGACACTTACGATCGCGGATGACGCCGACCATGTAGTTGGTCACCTTGGGCACGTCGACGCTGTCCAGCCTGGTCTTGTCCAGCCGCTTGGGACCCCTCTCGCGCTGCAGCCTCTCTTCTTCCTGCTTCTCCTTCTTGACGTAGCCGCTGCTGCCGCTGCCGGAGCCGCTGGCTGCCGCAGAGCCCTGGTAGGCGGCGTCGATCCTGGCCTGCTTCTGCGCGACAAGGTCCGCACCGACACCGAAGTCTGCGCCCTTGTCCATGTTGTACACCTCCTCCCGAACGTCGAGAGGCAGGTCGACCTCGACGCGGTTCGCCTTGGGCCTCCACCGGCTCGACACCTTGAGGCCGCGCGATGCGGCCGAGAACGGCACGGGGAGCGGCCGTTCGCGCGGAAAGACGGGGTACTGGAAGAGGTGGAGCGAGGACGTGTCGAGCAGCGAGTTGGAGAGGTACACGGGCAGCGAGGCGACCAGGTCCGAGTCGGGTGGCAGGTCGTCCTGCGACAGGGGTGCGGTGTGGTTCGAGGCAGACGTCGAGGCCTGCGAGGCGGGCTGTGTCGAGGCATCCTCGGCTTCGATGGCATCGGTAGCCTCGCCCTGTATGGCGCCGTCGCCGTCTGCGGCCGTGTCGAGGTCCGGCTCGGACGAGGGGTCCATATTGACGTCTGGCATCGAGGCAAACGAGGCATCGATCGAGTCGTCGGGGTTGCCAGATCGGCCTAGAAAGAGGGGCTGGCCGGACATGTTGTGCAGATGTGACGGTGGCGGTCGGGCTGTCTGGAGAGAAGGGGTCTCTGCCGGCGCTTGCGACGACGTGAAGGACAGGCGGGGGAGAAGAGGGTGAGTGGTGGTGACGGGACGAGCTCTGGTGGCAAGTCGAGAGGGGCCCGCCTTCCAAAAATTCCAGGTGGGCGGGCGCGTGCTCTTCCGAATGCCGAGATTCCGGGCTCGAGGCGGTCAGGGCAGGCTTGCGGGCCAGGCAGGAGGCATGTCGCACGACACACGCCGCCCAGCGGGACGTCGGCTGACCTCGCCGCCGACGTTTGCTTTGCCATCCGAGCTGCGCACCGCTTCCGCACCGTGTGTGGAGGAGCGCAGGCCGCCGATGCTGTCGATGTCGGCATCTCGCCTACCTCTGCTCTCGATCCCCGCGCAGGCGGTGGTAGGCAAGGCAGGGGCAGGCAGGGCTTCCAACGGGGAAGCGGCAGCATGTCGAGGTGCCATCGGAACGGGCCGTAACAGCGCCCCGACGCTGCCTAGCCAGTGCAAGCAAGGTTAAGCCCGCAATGGAAGCGTGCGTCCCTTCGGCGCCCCTTCCTTGGCTCCGGCAGACGGGGCTCGACGGTCAGCTGAGGTAGGGATATAAGGCAGCGTGCTTGTGTCTATCTTGACGTGCCAAACCATTCCCGCGAACCACCTTCAAAGACTCCTCAACCCTTCAGCGTACCGTCCTCGCACACAGCCCCCTACCTTCTCAGTCCCCACTACCCCGCCGCCATGACTCTCCACGGACGATGCCTTTGCGGCAAGGTCAAGGTCGAGGTCGACGACTCCAAGGAGCCCGTCACCACTGCCCGTGAGTGTCGCTCGTCTGCCTTTTCTCTTGCTGCCCACTGCCGCTGTCGCCGTCGGACGACCTGTGTGCTGACGACTGTGGCCCTGCCTGCTCACTGAACGCGATGCGCCCGCCAGTCTGCCACTGCACGTGAGTCGCCAGGCCCTCCCTGCTCGCAACTTCCCAGTCCTGCCGTGGAAGCGTTGCTGACCGTTGATGCGACGACCCGATTTCTCGGCCTTCAGCAACTGCCTATCGACGTCGAGCGGTGGTGAGTGCTATACCTCGCCGCGCCTACCGACGTGGCTCTCGCGCTCGCGACGCCGACTGACCCGTGGCCGGTCTGCGATCCTCGCTGCCCCCTCGCAGTCGCGTCGGTCGTCTCGATCCTCTCCGAGGACAGCGTCAAGCTCTCGGGCACCATCAAGCAGTGTGAGTCTGCGCGCGTTTGAGGGGATGCTTGCCGCGTACTCCCTTCTGCAACCGAGCCTGACGCTGACCCTGTCCGTCCTCGTCCCCTTCCCCTGTCTGTGGCACGCCGCCGCCGCCGCCGCCGCCTCCCAGACGAGGACAAGACGACTTCGAGCGGCAAGGCCCTGACGCGCTCGTTTTGCTCCGAGTGCGGCAGTCCCGTTAGCTCGGTGAGCCCCAACTTCCCGGGCAAGGTGGTGCTCAAGTACGGCCTGTTCGGTCAGGACCACGCGGGCAAGTACCCCAAGCCGGGCGTCGAGATCTACTGCAAGAACAAGAACCCCTGGGAGCCCGTGAGTGCACCATCCGGGCCTGCTAGGGCTACGGAGAAAGAAAGAGGAAGAGGCGCTGACATCGTTTGAGTCGACCCGCGATGACGGCAACCTTGCCTCGCCTGCTCACCTTTGCTTGCTTGCACAGTCGATCGAGGGTGTCAAGTCGCTCGAAGGCAGCTTCTGAGCGGCTGGCTGGCGCCTTGCTTGGCGCCGTCTCGCGCTCGACTCTGTAAGAAGTTCTGTAGAAGCCGGACGCGGGTTCGACTGTAGCTGTGCCCGTCGGACGCTTTGCAAGGATGCGATCGTCAGTTGTAGCGCTGCGAGGCCTGTGGGGAGGGACGATGTGTGGATGGTGCTGGCGTCCGAGGTCCCACCAAAGGCCCGTAATGGCGGCCTCGTGGCATCGTGGCATCGTGGCATCGGAGCGTCGTGGCATGGCCAGACGATGAAGGAGGGGTGGCCGAAATGTCCGTGCGCAGAGGCTAGAGATTGGCGCCGGTCTGGTCGGGCCAGCCGGAAGCGTGCTTTCAGCGCCCTCGTCCGAAACGCGCGCCGCCTGTCAAAGCGAGGCCGGCCGGCCTGCGTGCCAGACGAGGCCGAGGCCGAGGCTGGGCTGTCTGCCTTGGATTTTCCAGCCTAGCCTGGCAGGACTGCGTTGCCTTGAGTAGTGCGCGTGTGCGTGCGTGTGTGCGGTGCGTGCGTGTGTGTGATGCTTGGTCGGCAGTTGTGCAGGCAGGCCTTGGCCTGGCCAGGCAGCTCAGCGCTACGCGGCCGTCGGCCACTTTTTTCTCTAGCTGTTTCCAGCTGCGTCGTCGTCATGCCATCATCACCACCACCACCACCACCATCATCACCACACCCTTTCCCCCTCTCGCCATCGCCGACCTTTTGTGCGCGCAACAGTGCAGTATCTTCACTCAAAGCAGCCCTTTGCCACTGACTCGAGCAACGCAGCATCGCCAGGCCACCAGCCGCCGCCGCACTCGGAACGGCACCTCTTTTCGGACTCTTCGTCGCTCGCCGCCCCCCCTGTCCTGGTGACCTACCCATCGTTCTCATAGACTGCCCGACGCAAGCGTCATCTTGACACCATCTGCGTCGCCGCACCACTCCGCAGTCTCCCTCCTTTGTACTGCGCCTGCTCATCCCCTCGCTCTCGACGCTCACGACTCGCGCACGACCCGCGGTGGACCAACAGCTGCCAGCTCTTTCGCTCGTCAAGCTTGCCTCCCCTACCCAAGCTCCCGTCCCTCGGCTCACAGATAGAGGCCAACAATAGCATCTCGACGGCCAGACACACCGGCAGCATCTCGACCCCTGACCAACCCGCCACACCCCCTGGCGGCCGCTTTCTATCGATGCAGACATCCTCTGCCCGACGTTGGTCCATCTCCCTTGCCTTCTCCTCGCTCATTTTTACCGCTCGCTTGTGAAGTGACCCAAGCCGATCCACCACTGATACCTGCGCCGTCGAGCAACTGCCCGCCAACGACTCGCCGATACCCCGGGTTGAGCACGCCTTCCCGCCTCTCTATATCCACATCGCGCTCTGAACGATACCTCTCATTCTCACATCATCATCACCGCCACAATGCCACGATCACCTCCCTCGTCGGTGGCCGCTGCCGGCCCCACCATTGGCGACAGCCGCCGCCTCTCTTCTGTAAACGACGGCGATCTTGGCCTCTTTGGCCTCTCCTCGCCGTCCCCGCCTCATTCGACCGAGACGTTCAGCCTCCCAAGCTCGTCGTCGCCAGTGGTCCATCCTACCAAGCTGTCTGCGCCCGCGAGACCCTCATCGTCACGACCTGGCAGTGCATCCTCTACCGGCGCAGGGTCTCGCCGCCTATCCACCCGCCTCGGCCAGCTCCAGGGCAACGGCAGCGCGACCAGCCTCCACACCAGCTACTATTCGGCAGAGGAGAGCGCCGGATTCTCCCCCAACGCATCGGCCGCTGAAGACAGCCCGGCGCAGCAAAAGGCAGAAATCGGACCCGCACCCGGCAGCACCCTCTCGAGGGAGCCGCTCAGTATCGACTCTGGCAATTCTCGGCCCGGCTCGGCATCGAAACGGCAGGCGATGAGCATCGCCGAAGAGACCGAGCTCAACCCACCACTGCCGCCCGCCTCGCCCAGAGGCAGCCGGCCCCGCGCCAAGAAGGCCTCATCATCGTCCAGGTCTCGCATGCACCTACCGCCGCCCGAGGAGAGGCTGCCGGTTGGCGCTGGCGGCCCTTCTGCCCCGCCTCGGTCAGCTTCGGTCCGCTCCTTTGGGAGGAGATCCAGCATCGGGGGTGGGAGCAACCAGGGCCACGGCGACCTGGGCAGCGGCCTGATGCCGGGCATCCGTTCGCAGATGTCCATGGTCGGATCGCCGGTGCTACCCACAACCTCTCCCTCGCTTGGCGGTGCTACCGAGCTCGAACCTTCGCCGCGCCCTTCATTCTCGAGCGCCGGGCGGTCGCTCCCCGACCGGAGCGCCTCGCTGCCCGCCTCGTCGAGCGCATCCAGCCGGGTGGCCTCTCCCACCAGCCCGCAGGCTCACGTTCCCACGACGGCGCGAGGTCCATCCGCGGCGCAGCAGATTGTTGGTGGTGGAGTGACCGAGGCTGCGGCGCTACCAGAGGAGCCGACCCTGGACCGCGAGGCGATGCAGAGATGGGTGTTGTCGGTGGGGTGCGTCACCTTTGACCTGGAGCTCGGGCCCGATCTCGAGTTCCTCTACCCGCCGCTCGGCATCAGCCGGGAGGAGCGCGACAACATCGCCTTCTCGTCGTTCCCGGACACGTCGATCTTTGACGACGGCTCTTCGGTCTTCTCCTGGAGGGTGCGGGAAGTGCCTCTGGATTCATCGCAGTCGGAACCGCCGACGATCCGCGGGCTCTCGGGCACGATCGGAAAGCAGGCCTCCGCAGCTGCCGCTGCTGCTGCGCTCGACGACAAGACGCCACGGCCCTCGATCACGCGCACTCTGAGCCAATCAACGATGCAGAGCCGCGGCCCCAACGCCGAGGCCGCATCGACGCCGACATCTCCGCTGGCCTCGAACGGCTCGCGCGGCAAAGACGCCCTTTCCCCAACGATGGCCGGCGGCAAGGGCATCGCGCGGCATGCGTCTGACGCTAATCTGCAGGCATCGTCGTCGGGCGCGACCTCGTCGTTCCGCGAGACCCTTACCAGCCGCCTCTTTCCCAACCACGGCAACGGCGGTCACAGCAGCGGCTCCTCGACGAGCTCGACGTCGCGCTTCAGCCGGCACGAGCGCAAGGCCAGCGCCAGCTCGACTGGCTCGACGACGTCTGCCGACGACGAGCCGGACCTGGCTTCGCAGGTGGCCGCCCTGCAGACCGGCGAGATCAGCATGGTCGCGTCTAGCGGCGGCTCAAAGGCGGCCGACGCTCTGCTGCCCAAGCGCACCGGTACCAGTACGTCGAGCAGCTACATCTACGGCTACGTCTTCTTCCGGCAGAAGCGCGACCCGACCAGCCGCAGGGGCTACTTCCAGAAGTCGGTCGTCATCCTCTCGCACCTGCCGTTCGTCGGTCTGTTCAGCGAGGTGGTGTCGCGGCTCGGCCCGCTCTACTTTGAGCACGGCATGGCCATGTTTGAGGCGTTCGCCAATGACATCATCAGCTGGCCCTCGCCGCAGCCGGGCTCGGTGCTGACGCTGCCCTTGCTCGGATCGATCCTGACGGCAGCGATCCCGTTCGGGCAGCAGGCGCAGAACTCGCCCAACGCCGAACTCTACGCGCCCTCGCCCGCCTCGCCGCTCAGCCTGCGGAACACGGCGACAATGACGATCCGATCGCGCTCCCGGTCCCAGCAGGGCAACCGCGAGCTGCCGGAGCCCCTGATCGGTCCCGGCGGGCCTCTGCTAGCCTCGATCCCCGGCACCTCGCTCTTCGACACGTTCAAGGAAGGGCTCGCCGACCTTTGGCTGCTGTGGGAGTGCGTGCTGCTTGCCGAGCCGATTCTCGTCATCGGTCCGGACCCCAAGGTGGTCAGTGAGGCCGTCTGGCACATGCTCGATCTTATCCGGCCGATCCCGTACGCCGGCGACTTCCGCCCTTACTTCCACATCCACGACTACGACTTCCGCACGCTGGTGACCAAGAACAAGCCTCAGGCGGGCACCCTGATTGGCGCGACGAATCCCTTTCTGGCCACCGCCTGCTCCCACTGGCCGCATTTGCTGCGGGTGGGCAAGGCGGCGGTCAAGGTCGGCAGCGGCTTCAAACACGGTTCGGCTCCTCCGACAGGCTCGGGCACCCGCAAGGTGGGCGGGGGCCACGGCGCCGGCGGAGGCGGCCCGGACCACGTTCCGGGCTTCATCACCAAGCGGAAGCGGCGCGTCAGCAAGGACCGGGTGCTGCTCAAGCGCCTGCTCGACCTCGCCTCTTCGTCGCAGCCGTCGTCGGCCGAGAGGAAGGAGGGCAACGTGGCGATGCGGAGGTACTTTGCCGACCTCACCGAGCGCTTCCTGGCGCCGCTCAACCGCTACGTCGCCAGCCTGGTGCCCGCCACGTTTGACCTCGGCAGCCCGAGCGAGGCGCCCAAGATCCGGCCCTTTAACACCACCGCCTTTCTGGCCAGCCTCAAGGCCCACGGCACCCCCATCCCGCTGCGCAGCCGGAGCCTGCCGACGGGGGCCAACATCCGGATTGGCCTCTACCTCGACTTTCTCAAATGTGAGCAACCCCCTTCGAGTTGGGCCACAAGGCGAACACACGGATACGACGCTGACCCTGCTCTCGTTCTCGATTCTGCGGGCCTTCTTCCCCTGGCAATCATGCCACGTCAGGCCCCAACTTTTCGCTCTGGCTTCACTCGCGCGTGGCGGCGGCCGAGGAAGAGCAAAGGCGCCGCTACATTGCCGCGCTGGTGCAGGGCGACGTGACGACGTTTGGCAACACCAAGGGCGAGATCGAGACGATTGACCTGTACAGCCGCATCGTCGAGGAGATTGTGAGTCGACGAGGGCGTCGGTCGGCGTCAGTCGTGCTTGACCTGCTGTGCGTCATCGTACCGCGCACTGACCGTCCGTTCGTTTCCATCTCCCCCTCGTCACCTGCGCAGCGCCTCGTGGATGTGCAACTCACCGCGCCCACTGAACCCGGTCCGGGATCGAGGTGGCGAACCGATACGCCCACGACCTCGCCCTCTTCGACGGTCGACAGCGCCGCGCCGTCGCGAGACCACCACAGAGGTGCGACCCACTCTAGCGCCGCAGCAGCGGCGACCGGTTCCAACTCGTCTGGCCGTTCGACGCCCACCGCGGCATCGTCGTCGTCGGCGACGAGCTGGCCCACGACGGAAAAGCGGCTGGTGGAACAGAAGCGACGCCTCCTCGACCAGCTCGACCGCCTCTGCGAGACGCTGCCCGACGACCTCAAGACTAGCCTCAAGAGACCTGCGTAGAATTAGAGATTGCGGCGTGGATCAGGTATAAGGGGAGGTATCGACGGGATGGATGCGGAAATCGGATGCGGATGCTTGTTGTTGCGTGCTTGATGCTTTACCAGGGCGACCCGGTTTCCATATTGTGGACGAGAGAGAGAGAGAGAGAGAGAGAGAGAGAGAGAGGAGGAGAGAGGAGGAGGAGGAGGAGGAGGACGCGTGTAGACGAAGAGAGAGAGCGAGAGAGGCGGAGGCGGAGGAGGCGGCGTCGCGCGCGTGACGACGACGCGCGCGTCGTCGTGTGTCGTCGTTCG